AGCCAGCCATGCAATCAAAATTCACAGCAAATGATCTATCACAGAAACACATATAATCATTTAATTCCGTTGCATCACATTCCATTACATTACCAAATTTTTCATACTTCATATATTTATTGTTAGTACGATTTTTCAGTAGGCCTTCTTTGACGATTGAAGTTAGCAAGTAGAACCCTAGTGGCATATAAATGTGTATTCTCATATACAATGACAAGAAATGCTCAACCACATCGATGTTGTGGACAAAAAGACATGCTTTGCACCCCTTGCACCTCCTCCGTTTTCCAAAAATCCTGAAATCAATGCAAACACGTATTAGAGACTCGGGCACTTGTTTACTTCAAACTCAAAAGAAATCCTGAATTTTTGTACTACTTATGCTTCCAAAACATTCCTGATACCACTTATTTTCCTAGCCGGTACTACCGACCCTATATAGAGTGAGTCCATGCCCAGCAAACCCAGTTTTCATAGGTCGGAACTGCCGCTCATGTTTATAATGTTATATGTTGAGCCTCGTTTCCATTGAAACTCTTCTTGTTAGCTCCGGCGCCTTCAAGCATAACATTTTTCATGGCACTTTCGAGGCCTTTTCAGTTTGCCTTTGTATTAGGTCACAGTATAATTCTAGTACTTCCATGCAAATCCACCTGGTACTTAGGAGTTGTGACTTTGGCATTTCTGCATTTTTCTATTGAGAACTATGTTCATTATGATACTACCGAGCATCTGGCTTTACCCGGTTCTTTCACGTCTATTCTATTCTTGTAGAAAAGAGCCACAATAGTCTTGTTGTTCGGAACCTTTGCTTTACTTTACCTCGTAACTTTATAGTACAATATTTTCTCTTACATTTTTTATATATCCTCCGATCGTTCAACTATTGAACATGTCCAGTAGTTCCGAGAAGTTTTCTCTGATACTTTCGGGCTAGTTGCATTTTCAAGTAACGACAAGATTTTTATGATCTCTATATATAGACTTGGACCTATGTTGTGTTAACCACCCCATTCCATCCCAACTCACACAAGTTCAAGTCTAGATAGTCTCAAGGCAACAAAGGATAAAAGAAAGTTGTTGGGTGATTCCAACAACACTTCCATGATTCTTTAAAGGTCAAGCTCCTCTCTTCTTCTTGAACCCCCACATCTAGTGTTCCTTTGTTCTTATACCACTCATATTGTGTGTGTGTGTGTGTGTGTGTGTGTGTGTGTGTCTATGTGTGTGTGTGTGAGAGAGAGAGATCCTATGGGTACTTGAGAAAAGCTTTGCTTGAAGAGCTTTTGAGGAGTTCCACCGAGTGACTTTGCTTTGCTTGTTACTATTGGAGGGTGTGTTCCTCCTAGATGGTTAAGACTTAGGATTCACTTGAGATCCATTTTGAAGGAAATATGCCCTAGAGACAATAATAAAGTTGTTATTTATATTTCCTTATATCATGATAAATGTTTATTATTCATGCTAAAATTTTATTAACCGGAAAATTAGTACATGTGTGAATACATAGACAAACAAAGTGTCACTAGTATGCCTCTACTTGACTAGCTCGTTAATCAAAGATGGTTATGTTTCCTAACCATAGACATGAGTTGTCATTTGATTAACGGGATCACATCATTAGAGAATGATATGATTGACTTGACCAATCTGTTAGCTTAGCACTATGATCGTTTAGTTTATTGATATTGCTTTCTT